CTTTATTAGAATCTTCATCAGAGGTATTAGCCAGGAGATTATTGATTTGGTCCTCTAAAGAAGGCTCTAGATTGAGGCTACTAATCTTTTTCTTTAGCCTGCAATACTTACTAATATGGCCAGGTTTACCACAATTGTAACAGGTTACGCCTGTTCTAGGTTTTTTGGGAATATTGGTGGGGATGACATTATCCCCTTGTTTCTTAGGACTGGGTTTTCTATTGTACCTGCGCTTATAGGGCTTTTTGTAAGGTTCTACAGCCTCTTTCTTAGGGGCATGTTTCTTTCTTTTGGGAGAGTAGGATGGAAGACCAAACTGCTCGCAGAATGAACCTAATTCTTTCTTGCTCAAAGTTTTTTCTTTAGCAAGCTGTTTTTGGAGTTTATCTTTCTGGCAGGCTTTAATACCGCTATGGATAATGATAGCAGTAAGCTGACCATAATCATAATTATCATAATTGATTTCTCCAGTGGGAGAACGACTTCGGAGTTTACTTCTAATAAGATCTCCGAATGCTTTAGGAAGACCATCAAGATATTTTTCTTTCCAATAGGCTTGGTTGCAATCTTCCCTAGTAAGGACCCTAGACATAAAGGTATCTTTATACCACTTGAAATGTTCTAAGGAATCACACTTGAGTTTTGAAAGTAACTCACCAGATCTCTCTCTCCAAAGAGAAGGATCACCTAGGAAATATTGGGATATTGTGTATAATAACGTATACACAGCATCAGGGAGATGCTCATTGTCACTGACAATGGTTTTCCCTTTATCATTAATTTTAACTGCAGAGAGAATGTTATCTCTGTCAGCTTCAGTGAGATAATTATCCCACCAACCTTTGAGTTGGCCAGTAAAACCGGCAACGAGAATATAGACAATGGTGTCTTCAGGCATATTTTGGTTAGTAAAATAGCCCATAGCGACAACCGACATATTTTGAAGCTTGGCAATGATATTATATTCAGATAATCCATCGATATTCCAAATATAAATATCATTAGAATTAAAACTTTGAATAAAATCTTGTTTTTCTTCTAAAATAAGATCAGGAGCAGTAGCTTTATTATAATAAAGCTTGGAAGAATTTTTCCAATTATTGATTGGATTAATGGCTAAGACAGAGTCTGTTTCAGAACAATGTTCTGAATCAGCCTTAGAGATGGCATTGATAGTTTTGGCGAGAGACCTAGTCCTGGGTTTAGCACTAGATTCTTCAAAGGGCTGAGGAGTGTCAGGAATGGTAGTGAGGAGGCTAGTAATTTTACTAAGCAACTCGTTTTGGTTTTCCTCATTTATTTTGGTTTTCTCTTTTTGCCTGAGTTCTAAGATTTTCTGCTTAGCTTTGGCGCTGATCTTAAAAGGTTTAAATAGAGGTTTTTCTAATTGTGGTTGGGAGGATGAAGAAGTAGTTTCTTCAATTTTTGGTTTGACAGGATTAACATAGATTTTCTCACCTAAAACCTGAAGGTATTTATTGGTATAATTGGCCTGTTCCATGAGGCCTTAGATGTCATGAGGAGTGATAGACTCATCAGGATTTTTAGACTTAAAAGGAGTAGCAGTAACAGGGTTACCGCCTTTGTCTTTCAAATTAGGCAATTGGTATTGAGATGTGGGCGGTAAATCACTTTGGACTATTTGTCCGTCTTTGATTTGCCAGGTTATAACATTAGCAGAGGAGGTACTAATAACATCTTCTTGCCAGGGATAATTAATATTATTTCGAATGGTATAAGCATGATACCAATCAAAGAATGGAATATTTTGTTTGACTTTTTCAAGAAATTGATAGAATTTCTCTTGGATAGCAGACCTGTCTTTTCCCCTATAATTTTGAAAGAACCACTCTCTTTGAGGTTTCCATTCCTCAGAGTAGAAATCTTTCCTAAGGGTTTCCTTATCTATAATGAATTTATGAGATAACATCATAAGACTCATTAAGGGAAGAGTAAGTTGGAGATTGGATACTCTGATTTTCGTCTTCTTTTTCAGAAGTCTGATAAACATTTCTAGGAATCCTAGAAGAAGTGTCTAAACCTTGAAGATTTAGAGAAGGGTCATGATTAACAGACCTAGGAATATCAGGTCTAACATAAGATCTAGAAGAAAAAGATCTTCTAGCAGAGACAAAGTCAGATCGATTACTATAAGCATCGATCCTTGAGGAGAAAGAGTTTCTCCTATCAAAGTGAACACGCGCATGATATAAGCAAGGGAAGCTTCTGCGTGGCTACTATTTTTAACAAAAGTGAACACTTTGAAGTACACGTGGCTACTATTTTCAACAAAAGTGAACACGCGCAAGTGAAAATGAAGAATTAACCTCTGCGTGTTCACTATTGTCCATAAAAGTGATCATTCCAATCTTAGAGTTTCCAAACCAGCCTCTGCGTGATTACTATTGCTGGTGAAAGTGATCACGCCAGCAGAGCAAGAATTCTATAAAAGACAGTTAGCTCAGGAATTTTGTAATCTTTTGTTCATTTTTCATTTTCCATTTGTTTTTGCTGTTGAGAAAGTCAGAGAGGGAGATTGAGGACAAACACCAAGCTTCATTTCTTGAGGGATCAAATTAGAGATTGGCTTGAAGATGTTTCTTCTTTGTTCATTCTCTTCTCCTCTCCTCTTCTCTTCTCCTCTTCTCTTCTCTTCTCTTTTTGTAATGTTTGTTTAACTCTTTGTAGTTAGGAACTGTGGATGTGAAATGGAAATGTTGAATTGATTTTGGATCTGAACTTTGAGTTTTGGATTGGATTGAGTGATTGATTCTATTGTTAAAGTAGTGATTGAATGGAAATTTGATTAACTAATCATAAAGGAACTCTTATCAATGGGAATTGAATTTGTTTCTCATATTTGAATCAATTGCCAAGGTTACTGGTTTCTTAGGGATAAGATATCTTAATCTTGCAATCTTTTGGTTTCTCAAACTTAATGCAGCATTTAATTGGATTAGATCTAAGGGATTAGAGAGATTTAATTAGATGCTAGATTCATTGGGCAAGGGATTGTCCTTTGATTAATAGAACGTAAAACTGATTGTCATTCCATCTAAATGCTTGAAAGTTAAAAACTTTATTGATTCAATGTTGAAGTTTTGGTGAAACAATTTCCTAACTACTCTTTCTATATCTGTTTACTACATACTTTCATGCTAAGTGTTCTGTTTTGCTTTCTAAATTAGTTTTTGATACATTCATACTAAATTCATCTGAAATTTGTTAAGCTCAACTAATTGTGATCTTGTGAAATGGTAATTGAGAACTTTATTCCCTGGAAACGATACTTGGAACTCAATTTAATTCTAAGATTTTTTATAACTTGCTACAACAACACTAATACACTTGCTGGTCAGTTTACTTCACATCTTCACAAGTATTTGTAATAATCTCACAATTAAAGTAAATCAATTAAAGTACACTCATTTTTTTTCTAATGATAAACTCACTTTCTCTATTTAAAATGTTTCCTCTCCGCTTACTCTTTATCTAAAATCTTACTCTTGCAACTTACAAAGAATGAAGAACTCGGTATTTATAGGCAATTGCCATAAAGTCGGTCGCCAATGGCAATTTTTGAAAGATCCCTTGCAATGTGGTCAAACATCGTTAGTGGCAATTTTTCAGATATCCATGTCATTCGGTCTCCAAAATATCTCGCCAATAGCAATTTTTGAAACACCGTGTTCACATAAATTTGCCAACAAATCATATTTTGTGTATATTATTTATATTTTACCATATTTAAATTATTTTACCCCACACTCCATTAGACATTAGTTTAAGAATATTTTGACACAAATGCATAATTAGTCAGAGAAGTTCTTTTTTTTCTTTTTTAATAATCAGAGAGAAGTTGTTTTTCGTATCTACCTTATCATCCTCTGCCTCTGCTAGCTAATTTTATGCTGAATTAAACCCGAAAAAAAAAAAAAGAGAAACAAAAGTAGCACTCCTTTCCGTCAACCTAAAAATGTAAATAGTTTAATCATTATAATTATGAAAGTTGTGTGCTTAAGTTAGTTTTTTACAATCAAGCTTTAGTATAAAATTAAATAATTTTGTTTAACAAAGTAAAACAAATAACGCTTACATTTAACTTCATCTGCCTAAAGGTTTGTACGAAAATTAGAATTGATTTTGTTGAGATTAAGAAATTATATTTAACGTATTTTGATTATAATGAATATAAAATTACATGCATGTTTGAAAACATGTTTAAAATCATGCGAAGGTAAATCAAATACAAAATTATAAGTAATAATATTAAAATAAACATGAATCAATGATTATTTAAACACGAATTTAAACACACACGGAAACTATCTCTATGTGTATAATCGAATGCAAACTATTTATTGTATAATTAAATAAGTTTTTAATAACTATTTAATATCAATTTTCTTATCAAACTCAATTTTTTGAATAATTTTTTTCATGAAGTAATATATATATATATATAATAAGTTAATATAATTCTTTATTAATATCCATTGATATATATATATATATAAGTTTACCATTTAATACTTCAATGGATATTAATAAAGAATTATATTAACTTATTAAATCTGGTTTGAATTCTGAATACATAACCATATAGTTTTTTTAAAATGTAATTTTGAAAATTTTAATAATCTTATTCTTTTTTAGTTCAAAAATGGCATGAGAAACAAAAAAAAATGATGTTTAAACATTGAAGTATAACATAATTAAATATTATCCCTTCCCACTTTGGTGATACTTTAGATGAAATCCGATGGACAACAAGCTTTTTTCCCCCTAAATTTTATCTACTATAGTTATAGTACAGAGAAATTTGAAATACTATTATATATTATATAGTAAATTTTAATAAAGTTATATTGACATTTTTTTTTTTAAAGACAACAATTATTCCCAAAGAACCTCTTTCAAAACTAAAAAACAGAAATTATTTATTAAAAATTAATAAAAAAGGGTATTAATCAACATAATTGTTGTATAGTACTGTAGTAAATACGAAGAGAAGAAAGAAACTTATCTTTTGTTCCACCGTCTCTGGTCCAGAGAGTACAGGAATATTGACATTTGACATAGTGTTCCATTACACATATTCAAATCCAAGTGTTGATTTCATTTCATCGAATTCCAGATCTGAGAGCACAACGACAATGGCGAAACCAAGATACTCTCGGCTTCCACAGCGAAAGTCATCATCCTCTTCATCTACGCTCATCCTCACTTTGTTACTTATCTTCACCTTCCTCGTTCTCATTCTCCTTGCTCTCGGAATCCTCTCCATCCCTAACTCCTCACGCTCCAATTTGCCCAAACCTAACGATCTTACTTCCATTGCTCGAAACACACTCGATAGGTATCTCACTTCACCTTCTTCCTCTTCTGTTAATTTTCGTATTCAAATTGATTATCTATCTTATTCGTACGTTTCGTTTTCTAATCAGAACCGATGGTGACGATGAGAGGGGAGAACAGTGGGTTGAAGTAATATCGTGGGAGCCTAGAGCTTTTGTTTATCATAATTTTCTGGTTAGTTTCTCGTTATAGCAAATGCGTTCCGTTTTCAGATTCCGTATTTGGTAATTTCACTGGATCTTATGTTAAGGATCTAATGCAATTAGGGTAACGATATTGTGAATGAAGAGGAATAGAATTAGGGTTTAGTACTAGGATTTTTTCTCGATACAACAGTTCAGAGTCTTTTAATTCCTTGTAGTTTATGATGATGAATTTGTCTTTCTTTCACTTTGATGATTATGATATCACCATAACTGTTTGTTTTCCTTGGCTAAACAATGCTTGGCACAATGTTCAATTTGTGCTTTTGAATTTGACTTTAGCATGATGGGATGATCTTATGTTTAACTGTTGGTTAAGGCTTGTGCTCCCTTGGAGCAATAATAATTTAGTATGATGCATTTTAATGTCTCATCTTCCAAATACTAAAGCTTAGCTGAATAATCTGGGTAGACAAAGGAGGAATGCGAGTATCTCATTGAAATAGCAAAGCCAAGTATGCACAAGTCAACGGTTGTGGATAGCGAAACTGGAAAGAGTAAAGACAGCAGGTTGGATTATTTTCTATTTTTCTCTATTAAGTGTCCTTTGATATTGATAATAATTTCTTGTGTCATTTAGACTGCCATATGACAAACCTTAACATTACATATTCCTTTAACATTTAGAGTGCGTACAAGCTCTGGAACTTTTCTGGCTAGAGGTCGTGATAAGGTTGTCAGGAATATTGAGAAAAGAATTGCAGACTTTACTTTTATCCCTGTAGGTAAGTATTTTGCAACTCTTATATCTTTTTTACAAACTTTGTATTATTAATAAAATGAACCAGTGAAGGGTTTGATGCTGGTGCTGTTTTTTATGTTTCTCCTATGTGTTAAAGTCTACAATAGTATCTAACTGTTATATTAGTGTACCATAAAGTCTCTTTCTCCAGTGATCATTTTGTCTGTGATTTAGAATTGTTGAGTAGTTTGAGATGTTATGCATGTTTCAGTGGAGTATTTTCAGTTTCCTTTTCCACCTGCCTTTCTATTCTATGATCTAGGATAGTAGATTATTTAATATTAAATACTTTGCAAAGCATTACATAAATTATGACTCACAATGTACAGAGCATGGTGAAGGGCTTCAAGTTCTACACTATGAAGTTGGACAAAAATATGAGCCTCACTATGACTACTTTCTTGATGAGTTTAACACTAAGAATGGGGGTCAGCGTATAGCAACACTACTGATGTACCTGTAAGTGATATCATGTGCACACTTAGTTATTAAGTTCAAGTTCTCTTGGATATGAGGACAGGTTTTCATACTCTGTTGCTTTTGTATTTTAATTTTTCAGTACAGATGTGGAAGAAGGGGGTGAGACAGTGTTCCCAGCAGCCAAAGGGAATTTTAGTTCCGTGCCATGGTGGAATGAGCTTTCTGATTGTGGAAAAAAAGGACTTTCAATTAAGCCAAAGAGGGGTGATGCTTTACTTTTTTGGAGCATGAAGCCGGATGCAACATTAGATCCATCAAGCTTGCATGGTTAGTTTCTCTTATTATTTTCATTATTACCATATTTGTGCTGCTATATAACAATAAACTTTAATAGAGGACTAAAGGAGATTAAATTGGCAAAACTGTTTTCTTGATCATTTTCAGGTGGTTGTCCAGTGATTAAGGGTAATAAGTGGTCAAGTACCAAATGGATGCGTGTCGATGAATACAAAGCTTGAATATACATTACTAAAGGTATTTATCTCCCCTTTCTTGTGATACTGTCAATACAGTTAAGGCAAGATATTCATGCTTGTTGGCAATATTTAACATTAGTATTAATTAGCCAACGGATTGCATGCATTTAATATAGTTTTACACAAAATGTAATCATAAGAGTTGATTTGTGCGAACTATCATGTTCGCCAAGTTCTTAAGTTCTTGGATTCAATTGAATTTAAGATCACAGAATATATGCTCATGTAGAGAGGTAGGTTAGAATATTCTTTAGGATTAAGATTGCTAAAATTGGAAAATTGATCTCTGTGTACGTCACATTTAATATTGTTTGCAGAACTGTATTTAGTATTTACAGCTCAATAGTGTGCCTTGCTTGGCATTATTCTCAGTTTGTTGCCTTTAGTTTGATATATTTAATATGCTAGTATTGTTGATCACCTTTCACGTTGATTACCTTATTTTTCAGGCTTGTCTGAATTCATCTAGCCAATGGTGTGCTATTTTGAAGTCTGAGCTAAAACTTTCTGCGATAATCTTCAGATCTTGAAGGAAATATTTACAGCATGACGTGGCATTCTGTAATTTTGGATGTTCTTCTGTAAGCTAACTCATTTTTTCCCTACCCTTTTCATTTATGTTACTAGCAAATATAATAATAAAAAATTATGTATTAAATTAGGGATGTTCAAGAAATGTATGAAACCAATAGATGGAACGAGTATACCAGCTTTTTCCTTGGAGCTTCCTTTACCTTTGTGTTGTAATCGTTGTTATATGTCAGCTTGTATTGTATGGATGGTAATTGGACCTAAACCCAATGGGGTACTTTTTAAAAAAATATTTACGATGGGTATTTTTTGAAAAATATTTACCAGCAAAAAAATTATGGAGATGGATGTTGGTATGGATATTTTACCATCCAACCCGTCCTTATTCGTGTTATTTAATATATTAATTTTAAATTTTAAAAAATTAATATTATACTTATAGTCTTGCAACTTATACGTTTTATCTTAAACGCATGAGGGTTTAAATGAGAAAAAATGTAAATTTTTAAGGGACCAATATTATTTTAATTTAAAAATTATACAGAACATATTAACTCTAGCGATGGAATGACTGTAACCTACATTTGTCTATACATACCTTTGTGGGCAAGGTGTTCTTAGGTAAACATTTTTGTATATTAAATATAGGTGATAGGAATTAGCATCACAGTCAACAGATTTCTTTTTAAAAAAAAAAAATTAAATGAGTATAACTTTTAATGAAATTATTATATTATATATAAAATTAAAGTCGATATATTTTAAATTTATATAGATATCATTAAATTTTCATCTTTTAAATATTTTGTTAATTTACTATATAATATTAACAAGTATCATTTAATTATCACCGGTTTGATGCTAGTTCAACCATGATCGAATTATTAAACCGTGAACTAGTGCTTTCACTTGTGCAATCACTAGTTTGGTTTTAAAAACAGTACTTAAAAGTAATGTGATTAACATGTTACATCATAGTAAGCAGTGATAGAGATGTTAAAAAAATAAAAATAAAAATTCTAAAATTCATAACTAATGTATCTAGAGAACTAAATAAATAAAACCATATTTTTTAACATTAAAAATAAGTTTTATCCAAAAAATAACATTTATACAATATATTAGTTTACAAGTATTAAATTTTATAAATATCAAATTTTGAACTATATATGAAAAATAATAACTCTTCATAATAGGCCGAATAGACCTAAATAACAACGTCTTCATAAACCTTTTTAAAAGCTCAATCTAGGTTTGTTAGCTATGATAATATTCGACGAGTCGCCTGCTTTTCTAGGAGAGATTAGATAATTTTGAAAGAATTAGTTTTTATGGTTTGTGAAAAATTCTAAAAAAAAATAAAAATTCCCCATCTCAAACATTTTTACGCGCAATATTACTCAGATTAGGAGCAAACTCATTCTCAATTTTGTTTTACCGTGCTTGAGACCCAGTCTATAATCATTTCTCGAGTAACTGCCTTGTCTCTTGGGAAATGCTTTCCAGCTGTAGCAGGTCACAATGTCCTTTTAAGCTCAATTGTTAAGATTAAGGCTTCAAGCTTTGATTATACAAAGTTACGACCATTCACCCCTCAGTATTTTAGGGCACACCGCTCACAATTTCAACAAATATTCCTGATATTCTCAATCTCATAGTCGGGTGGCAGAACTAGAAGGGCATTGTTTCCTAAAAACTCAAAACTGTAAAACTATTTATAAATCGCATTTCTTTAACAAGGATTTTTCATCGAGACAGACAGACTGAAAAAAAAAAATCACATTTCCTGAACAAACGACACAGACCAACTCTTTCTTGTAGCACTAGCAGCCATCAAGTTCCTTGGTTTATTTGAATAGCTGAATAGCATGGATTTCCTCCCACACTAATTGAAAGGACCTTTGCTGACCCATACTAGATTATTTGACCAAAGCTAAAAATGAGCACCAGTGGGTGCTAGCAATTCAACCCGCAAACCTGGTATGTATCCAATTCAATGTTTAGCATCGACCAAGTTTCGGATGACATATTGTAAGATGCCTCCATGGTTAAAGTAAGCTAGTTCAACCTGCAATGAAGTAACCAAACATCAGCAGGAAAAAAGAGAATCTCAAGGAATAAGAGCAAAGCACAACAAACAGATACTACCATTAATAGATGAAGGATAAAATATAACCTCTGTATCAAATCTCAGGGTAGATACAAATGTCTTCCCGTCATCCTTCACCACTGTGACATCTTGACCAGGTCGTATTTCATTCACACTGCTTGGAAGATCAATGGTGTAACGTTCATGGCCAGTCAATCCAAGAGTCTCAGCATCCTCCCCAGGCTTAAAACACAGAGGAATGATACCCATTCCCACCAAATTACTTCGGTGAATCCTTTCAAAACTTTTTGCTATGACAGCTTTCACGCCCTAGAAATGATAATAAACAGATACAGAATTACACAAAACCAACAGAATATACACAAACAAATCGGTCAGAGCAGAATGGCCACCAGAATGTACCAGTAGCATTGGCCCCTTTGCAGCCCAATCACGGGAACTTCCACTACCATATTCAGCTCCAGCTAAGATAATCATATCATGCCCCTCGGTCTTGTATTTCTGACAATTAAGTAGTGTCAATACCAAAAGGAAACAAAGGTTGAAATGTTTAAAATTTGATGCACACATGGAGCATTTGCAATCTACCTCGGAGTCAATATGAAGCATAACAAGAAACCAAATTAAAATCTTTGGGTCAGCTGTTTTAGTTCTTGGATTAAAAAGTAATTGAAATCATAAATTTTGGGAATTTATCTTTCTCCAATTTATCCATTTTCGTAATTTGATACCCATGAACAACAAAATATCAGATCACAACATCAACAATCTTCTCCAACCAGAAATCAAAATTAACACATGCACAGTAGGTGGAGATATCTGTTGCGTAAATACGGCACAGTTCAGAAAAATTACCATCGCAGCATCAAAAACTGATAACTTCTCCCCAGAGGGAATATGAATGGTTTTAGGTCCAACTTCTCCATTCAAGAATTTGTTGACAAGGCGAATATTGGCAAAAGTTCCCCGTGCCATCACCTCATCATTACCACGGCGACTTCCATAGGAGTTGAAGTCTCGTCTATCAACCCCACGTTCAATAAGGTATCTGGCGGCAGGACTGTCCTTATGTATGCTGCCAGCTGGAGAAATGTGATCTGTTGTAATACTGTCTCCAAAGTTGAGCAAACAGTAAGCATTCTTCACCCCATGAGCACCAGGGGGAGACATGTTCATATCTTTAAAATAAGGTGGCTCATGAATATAAGTTGATGTAGGGTCCCATGCATAAAGAGTGCCTGATGGAACAGATAAATTATTCCACATGGGATTGCCTTTGGTGATTGCATTATATGTATCCCTAAACATATCAGGCAGCACACTTGACTGTACAACCTGAAAATTGGACAAATATGAACAATTTATATGCAACATATTGTAGGAACAAGATGGGTAGTACTTTAGGTTGCTCCAACCAGATCTGATGTCTCATTCTTTTAAAAATTATATTTTTTAAACAATTACATATTCCTGACATGATCGATAACCTATGTAATATTTAGGTAAAACTCCAATTTTATTTAGAGAACAAAATAACCTGGTGTTTTATTACTCAAGTTCTGTTCTTTTTGGAATTATTGTTGCATAAGAAAAAAAATTTAAGAGATAAGACTTTTAGATTTAACGAGTAAATTATGTGAATTAACTACTAATTAGATATAATGTGATAAAATTCAAAATTTATGAATTGTAAATTTACAGATATGGAAAGTTTTGGTATTGATAATAGGGTAATTTGATATTGACTAAATTTAAGGAATAGTCTTCGAGAAAAAAAAAATGAAGTGCTTTACGTGGAAGAAGTCATATAGCACATTGGAATAGAGAGTAAATTGATAGAAGTCCTCACTCTTGTGAAAGCTCCAATTTAATATAAGAAAAAGCAATAGCTAAATATACATTGAGGCACTTACATTAGCTATTTCTTCACTGGATGGCCAAATATCTCTGAAGAAGATCTTTGTTCCATCCTTCCCTATCCCAATGGGTTCAGTATCAAAGTCAATGTTCACCTGCAGAATAGTGTGCCAAATTAAAAAGTATAGCAAGCTTTGAAATTCATACTTGGAATCAATTTACAAGCCACATACTGTGCCAGCAAGGGCATAGGCAACAACAAGAGGAGGAGAAGCAAGATAATTAGCCCTTGTTAATGGGTGAACTCGGCCCTCAAAGTTCCTATTTCCAGACAATACGGCTGCAGCTACTATATCTGGAATATTCAGAAAACCAATGCTTAGGTAACCTGAGAGACTCCTAAGTGAGTACTAAGAAAATACTACTTACACAAGGATATGTACCATTTTCAGTAATTGCAGATGCAACAGCTTCATCAATGTCCCCTGAATTTCCAATGCATGTGGTGCATCCATACCCAACTATATGAAACCCTAGCTGATTCAAATACTTTTGCAAGCCACTGCAGAAGCCAGTCAGGAATCGTTTAGCCACCTAAATGTGAATTCCACCATTTTGTGAATTTATACACTTGACTATATTCTAAAAAATAATACCTCCGCTGCAAATACTTAGTTACAACACCAGAACCTGGAGCAAGACTTGTTTTAATCCATGGCTTCACCTGATAGTTAATATCAATTTGTGAAACAATAGCAAACAATTAGCAGCATCAAACAACATTGGGGAAAAAGAAATTAAAGCTCATCTCATGTATTCTATCAAATATGAATCTAACTACTAGAAAACAAAAGGAAGCCTAAAATAGTTGCCACTGTAACTTCAACATTGTTCAGAAATGGGAAAGCAACAAGAATACAAAGATGTACTAAGTTCTACAACAGCCAAGTCAAATGTTAAACACATGGTCTTCCTTCTTAATCTTTTGTTTGGGGATCTCAAGGATGCAATGTCATTGTACGTGATAATGTTATAAAGATATATATACATTTAGACAATTTAAGTAAAATCCAGATCAAGCCTGTCTATACTCTCACACAGCCCAATTATAGCATCAGAGTATCTGCTCATTCAATTTATGTACATAATATGTGTGAGCATATCATAATTGAGTTAAATCATAATGATGATGAAGGTACAAAATGTGGAGCCATCTACTAACCTCCAATCCCAATTCACATGCTTTCTTTGCAACCAATGCAGCACCAAGCATTACACTGGGATTTGAAGTATTCGTACAGCTGGTGATAGCCGCTATAACAACATCCCCATGTCTAAGATGTGC